ATACAATGAACCTGACCTCTTTTGCACAAAACCTTAGGCCCAAAACTAACCCAAACCATCAGCCCATATGTCATAATCCATCACTTATTATTTTATGCAATTTATTTTGTATTTATTTTAATAAAAACAAAATAAATATGAATAAAATAGATAGAAATTTCAAGCAAGGTAAGAATGAGTTTAGAGGTCTTCCATAAGGTCATGAATATGTTGGAAGCTCAAAAAGTTAGGCCACTAACTTAAAATTTCAATTTTGCATGCTTTGCATTTTATGAATTTCACCAAAATTTCCCAACTTGCACTACTCATAACTTTCTCAATTTTCATATTTTTAGGATGATCTATGACGTTTTGGAAATCCCAATATGTCCCCTACAATCTCTAGGTTGACCATTTTTGCATTTGGAGAAATTATCTTGATGTAACTTGTCTTGACAATAAATGCCTTTTTGTTGACTTTCAAAAAGGCCTGTAATGTATTGGCTTATGTCTTCCAAATGATATATTTCTTGAACTTGAGGATAAAAGAAAAGTTGTAGGGAATTAAATTCTCTTCCAAATGGGCTTTGGTTGGGGCAAAATGGATGAAGCATGTGAAGGTTATGCTTAGTCAAAGTTCAGTTGACTTTTCCTTGAAAACCCTAATTTTGCACTTTTGGATTCATGATGATTTGAGAGCATTCCTTGAGGAATCATGATCAACCCTTGATTAAATGATGAATATTACTTCAAAATATTTATGTTGACCAAAAATCTTGAAGTTTGACTATATATTAACCACAGTTGACTTTTGACCTAATATAGTTGATTTCCAATCATCTGAGCAATTGACTAAGCAAACTTGTAATGCAAGGCATGAAAATTGGAAAGAGCATTCTTGAGGACATACTCGGAACCATGGAAACCACTTGAGGCCTTTTAAACTCATACTTCTTTGTGAAAATGAAACCCTAGTTGGAGATTCATTGCTTAGGAGGAGAATTTGTTTGGTCAATCCTTGGTCAACCTTGAGCACTTGAGGAACTCTAGGATTATGTTTTGAATAAAATGAGAGGGAAAATTTTTGGGTAGAACAGAAACGTTAGTTAAAGTTCTTATTGACAAATGTTCAAATGAAATAGGCTTTTACGTAGGCTATTAGGTCAAACATACCTTTGAAAAGGCCATACTGGGACCTAAAAATAAGCATATGATAGACCATAAGCCAAACTTAAGTTGAAAAAACCTTATGAACAATATTATAAGTTGTTTTCATAAGTTCTCTCAAAAAATAGTATCACATAACTTATGTTAATATGTAAACTTGAATAAGACAATTAAATAAGGATTTAGTCTCGTTGATTTTTTAATTTATTATTAAAATTATGGTATACACAATATCAGAAGTCAAGGCTGATGTCTTAATAACATACAATGTCACAATAGATGTTACGACATCTGATGATAGAACAACAAACAAGATAACAAAAATGCAGAATTATAACTTGCAGAATAGTAAAGGAACACATAGAATTGTTAACCCAGTTAGGTGCAAACTCACCTACTTTGGTGGCTACCAAGCCAGGAAGGAAATCCATTATTAACAATATTAATTTAGAGCTAAACAATCCTAGTTTACACCTCTCACTTAATCCCAACCCAGTACAACTTCTATCTAGGCACCTCCTAGATATTAGAACACTCTCACTCCCAAGCACCATTGTGATAAAAGATCAATCTCAGTCCCATGGAATGTCTCAAGAAACCAAAAGGGAAGAACACACTTCCAAATTACAAATACTTAGTTTTCTTAAAAGCTTCACTAAGAACAATACTCAACTCTTGCTTAAAATCTTTGAGGAGAATAATAACTTGATAAACAAGTAACAACCAGTCAACTCAAATGCATCAAAAGATACATGAGGGCATAAAAAAAACATAGAGAGTCTAAGGACTATCAAAACCTAAACCATTATTTTTCACAAGGTTTTACAATAAAAATTATAAAAAAACTAGGTATTGGATTACTCCTTATATAGACTTATGCAGTTGGGCTTGGACTCTTCAATCAAATATAATCTTCAGCTCTAAATCCCTGCAAAATCTTCTTCACAAAAATAGAAACAAAAACAAATCGTTCAAATATTTCCTAAAAAGTCTCAAAGATCTTTTTTATAAAATAAATCAAATCTGCAATTATTCATAACAATCCTTGATTGATTGCGCCTATTATGAGTACTAGAAACCTCTAGAATATCATATTTTTCTATCAAATCATCAAGGATACAAATCCAATTGTACTGATATGATGTTATGTTGCAACATGTTACAACATCTAATATAATATCTGTCAAAAAGTAACAGCAAATCCTATTGTACCAGCTGATCAATATGTTATGACATCTTGCTCAATATTATACTGCAATAAATGTTTCATCCCAAATAGAACATGTTGGTATAATTCTTGTCAACTATTTTTTTACCAAAATTGTTGCCAACCATAAAATCACAGACCTAACAATCTCCCCATTTGACAAATTTTGACTAAACAACCAAAAATCAAATATCCCAGAGAGAGGAAAAAAACCATAAACACAAGTTATATGAAACCATGTAAACTCTATAAATACAATACAACCCATAAGCTTGTACAATCAGACATGTCCAGTACTCCCCCTATCATACACAATCAGTTCTCCCCATCAAGGAAAAACCATAAAACCCCACATCAGAACACATGCGGCAGAACAACAAAAGCAACAACAACAACTTCGCCACAAACAAGCATGAAGACTCATGCTCCCCCTGAATGATTGCATGATCAACCAAACACATGCAACTATCCTCACAAAATCAGTAGCACACATTCCAATCACAATGCTAAATCAACATGTCAAGACATGTGATGTAACATCAGGACATAACACGTTACTCCCCCTTTTTATCCAAAATATTGACAAAAAGAAATAGAGCAAATGTACACATGAAGTGGAGACATGGAGAACTTAGAACACATTTCCCCCAGGAAATAACACAAGTGTAAAAAAACCCAATTTGAAGGAAACACAACAAGCATTAAAAAGACCCATATTGCACAAATGTAATACCACAGATGGAAGCACACGTGAACATCAGGTGGAAATAAACAGATGGAATTGCAACTTCTTGGCCAGCTTCAGGAGGTCTTCCACCTCTTTCCCATGTCAAAGAGCCTCTTGTATTTCTTGGTGTTGTAGTCAGCCCCATTGTTTTTCAGACTACCTTTCTTCCATCCCTTCTCAGTAGCAATTTATCCAAACATGCCACGCCTCAGAGTATAGAGGAAATATGCATTAGTAGTTGCATTCCTTTATATATGTAATTGTTATAACTCTTTGGTAGTACAAGTTCCAATCTTATTTTTTTATAACAACAAGTTGTTCCTTGTTGTCCATAAGATCCAGAGTATCATCCTTTCCTTCAACAAGATTCATGATCAATTGCTTACAACTACCAAGGTTCTTGCTCCAGTTATGTTGAGTGAGATATCTGAAAGAATTAAGATCTTCAGTATGAAATTTCATGACATCTTTCTTGACATCATACCTCTTCAACAAAAGTTCAGAGAAACTTCCTCTCGTTTCCCTCAAGGAAACACATCCATTTGTTTTTATATCATCCGGTTAAATTCAGCGATGTTACCTTTATCAGGGTGACTTGTAGTCAGTTCCCTAGTTTGTTCATCTGTCCCTCAACAGACAGACCTGTGATGGATTGAGAATACACTGACTCAACGTTTGTGAATTCACAAGCCTTCTTTCTCAATGTTTCACCAGTTTGCACATAGGATGTTCCACCATTGTCTTTGACATCCTTCTTCTCTTCAGTGATTTATCATCAATTTTCACATTGATAGATTCCATTATCATTCCAGTTCTAGAGTTATAAACTCTATAAGCTCTTCTACTCGTAGAGTAACCCAAAAATATCCCCTCATCCCCCATGAGATCCTTCTTGTCCACTTGGTTTTTGTTTGCAAAGATCTGGCATTTGTTTCCAAATATATGAAATTATTTGACTTTAGGTTTTCTTTCTTTCCATAGCTCATAGATAGTAATGTCATACCCCAAATTTGTCCACCCTTAGTGCAACCGTCAAATTTATTTTCGAACTTGGGTTTTAAAATTTCTTTGGTTTAATTACATTAACATTTTTGGGTTTTAACAAATATTCGCTTTCGAGTCTATTTAGAAATATAATTATTTATATTTTAAAAAATAGCAAATAATTGTACGTCTTCATATACTTTCAACCGGCTTTTTATTTCAAATAAATAACATAGCACAATTGGTAAGGAAACATAACTTAGAAGTATAAGGTCACAGGTTTGAATATCTTGTGGTGCACTTTTAACATTTTTTCTATTTTTTTTTTTACCGATGGTTTTATTGTTTCACTAACACTTCACACATCACAAAAATCCCTTTTCACTCACACGAAAACCTTCATGTACATATTTTTTCTACGCTGATTCATACATGTTAAAACATAAAGCACACAACCAATTCACGAAGTTTAAAACTTATAATAATGTTTCACAATAAATTCTTCACATACTACTAACACACCCATTATGTACTAAATTCTATACAATCTACAAACAAACCTGCTTTTGTTACAAACCATATCCCATCATAAAAACAATCTGCAGAATTGTTTTATATACAATCTTAACCAAACATCTATACTCAAATATCAATCTATTATCACTTTTTTTCTTTGTCTGTTCTTGTTTTTTTAAGAGAATAAAAATAAACAGAAAAAAATCTGAAACAAAAGCGGTAGTAGAGAGAAATCAGAATAGAAGATTGAAACTCTTCCTTCCAAGCTGCCTTCGAAGCTCCAGCGAACCACCATGATGTATGTAGATCTGACACCTCCGCCAGCACGCCTCCAGCCACGCACATCGCGATCTTGAACCGACGGAACTACGACACGCAAAACCATATGTGCCGATGTGCGAAGAAGAAAAATAATCGGAACTACTTCCTCCTCGAACATGCTGGCAGCCGCGACTCAACATAAATCGCTGCTCTCTTATCATAACCGAGATGGCCAGAACTGACACAGCTGCGATGAGGCTGCACCAGCACCGGCTGCGATTCCACCCTCCGGCTCACAAAATCCACGAACAGCTTCACGGAAGACGACTCTCCAGATCGCGATTCTGATGACATACTTCCCTCCACCTCAAAACGTACGCGTAAACTCCACTCGCCGGACCTCCACTCACGCACCAGATCACGACTCTTACCCACAACCACGACGCCTCCACCTACAAGTTCACCGCCCCAGGTTTTCTTATGCTTCTGATTTATGTTTAAGTACTTAATTCAGTTTTTTTTTGTTTGAAAGGAGTAGGAAGATCTGAGGAAATGAAAGCAGAGGAAAAGAAAAGAATGGGAAAATTAGGGAAAAGAAAAGGAGTGTTCACGGAAAAGAGAGAGTATCTTCTTACTTTTTTATTTTTCCTTTTATAATTTATTATGGTTATAATTATTATAATAATATGAATGAATTTTTGGGCCTTGGGCTCTTTAGAAGTCTTATATGTGTTCACCCCTGCCTCTTTCCATTGATACCCCTAGGTTTCTATTTAGTTTCTACTCTCTAATTAGTTTAGTTGATTAATTGATTACTGTTAAGAAGAAACATGATGTAGATGTCATCGTTTTATTGTTAGGACCATTATGTAGTCTTGGTAAGTTAATATAGTTTGATAAGTCTTAATTTAGGTTATTTTCGTTTTAATAATATAAAACACAAAAATATAGTTAGTACATAATTAAATCCTTTCTTTTAATCAACAATTAATTAAACACTTTTACAAATAACATGATTGGTGTATAAACGTCCATCATATTTTTTGGTTGGCTCAACGCCTTATCAATTAACTGTTCAACATTAAGATATTAAAAACCCTGCAATTCACCAATGTGCGACACGTGGCCAATATCTGGCCACATGATGAGGAAGACCGTATCAGATTCCCTTCACATACTTCATGACGAGCAATACGCAGCCAATATCTGACCACATGATGAGGAGACTATATCAGACTCCACTCTCTATGTCATACCATAATCGATCAATCGACTTCAAAACAGCTAACCAACAACAATTCATATATTTTTCTACTAAACAAAAAAAAACAAGATGTTTTCGAAAAATGATTAAGGAGAGTTTCTTTCGAAATTAACTGCGAAATATGTCTACACTCACACAATTTTCATCCCAGACAAGGTTCAAGGATAAGTACGAAAGCAATTCTACATAATCCATAAAAACACCAACCAACCGCAAACTACAAATTGAGACTCTGATTCCTCATAAGAGGATACATAGACATACGACTAAAATTGTGACGAGTTCCCCTAATTAAAAGACTCAAACCCTTTTTCCCCTAATAAAAAACTAAAACCACATTTCCTAAAGATTGCATTTCTAAACCCTAGTATCCTTGTGAACAAGTTAGATGAGGTGTGTCTAACACCTTCCCTTCATCTAAGAACAAGTCCAACAACTTAGAATGTCTGACTAAATTACGATTATCCTTTATATTCTCTTCCTTAGGATAAAAATTAAGGGTGACGACTCTATATTTTTTACTGGTTACAACAGCTGGCGATTCTGTTGGCGACTCAACCCTAGGGTTTAGAAGCCTTCCTCTTATGTTTAGGGTTTTCGTTTGTTTCCAATTTTTTCTTTTTATTTATTTATTTGCTTTCATATTATTTTGATTCTTTTATTTTATCATATTATATTTGATGTGGGGATTTTCATTTCTTATTTTAAAAGTATATATATTTTTCAAGACCCTTAGAAAGAAGGTTCGTCTATTAGCCAATGGGATACATCAACTCTATGAGTTTATGTAACGACTTCGCCTAGAGTCGTTGGAATTCCACAAAAGGAATACGTCTCAAGAGGCATCCTCTTGGGGGGTAGGACTTCGGAATAAAATCTATGACTCTTTGTACAACCGTTATACCAAAATCTCATGGCGAGACCTTTCATGGCCTAGAGACGAAAGTTTCGGTCTACAAAGAGGCTCCACTTAAGAGAGACCCTTATGCCTTTCCCTATAGTGTTATCTATGATTCCCTTAAGGAAGCTACCTTATGGGGAAGGGTAGAAAAATTTATAACCTTTATAGGAATTCTCCTATAGGTTATTTTATCAACATCCTATCCTCTTAACCTGTAAGGGTATCCTCATCTCTATATTTATCCCAAAAACTGGTATAGGATATTCACATACCCTAAACTCGTATGGGGTACTCACTATCCTAAACCCACAAGGGTTTCAGTTTGTCAATTACAAACCTTAGGTCCATAGAGATTCCCTTAAGTATGTTATAGCCTCTAGGGACTTCCATGTGTCTGTTACTATCTCTAGCCCATATGGATCCCCCTTTGACCCGTCATTGTCATTAGAACCTTAGCATCTTGACCTCCATATGAAACTTTCCCATGAAAGACGCCATTGCTAATGCACTCCATATGGCCTATATCAGGCCTGTGAAGACAAGCTTCCTAAAGAGTTTTGATGAATACAAATTATCATTGATTGCAAAATAGAATGGCTCAAGTCAAGACATCTTAATCAAGTCAAATTTATCAAAGTCTTGAAGAAATATTTTTGTGAACAAATCAATTATTAAGGTATAAAGTATTCAACTTCTTTATATGCATACAAGTGTTCATAAGAATGTTTCATGCATGTCATAAATCTTCAAACATGTTTTAGAACTCACAACTTTGTGTTTCACATCTTTTTTCAAAGGAATTTTTCAAAAATCTCTTAGGGAACCCGATTACCCAGTTATGATAATCGGTTACCCTGTATCGTTTCACAAAAAAAAAATCAAAAGCTACTGCCTTGGGGAACCCGGTTACCCAGTTATGGTAACCGGTTACCCAACGCTAATTTTCAAATTTTTTAATGTTGAGAAAGGTGGTACCTGGGTACCCACTTATGGGAACCGGTTACCACTGAAACAATATGAAAATTTTATATGTCTCTTGTCCAGAAAAGTTGTGTGGTTTTATTTATGAAGCATGGCATCTTTTCATTAAATCATACCATTTTGAAATGTTATATAGAGGCCTATATAAACTCATTATTTCATAACTATTTTTCACCTCTTTCAATCTACAATTCAAATTACATAAACTCTTTATCTTTGAAATTTTCAAGTGTTCTACACCAGAATTTTTAGTGAAACTTTTTGCACTCATTTTTCATTAAAAAAATTGTTCTAAGTTTCATATCATCATTGTGAACACTTGTATCCATTATTGAGAATTGTTCTACTTGAAGGAGAAGATCAATCCAAGATTGATATATTGTATCATATTTCAAAATCTCTTGTAAAAATTCAGAATACATTATTACTTCCCTTGCTATTCAGGATTGTTGAAAACAAGTGTATGTATTGAAGAGGATTGTTCTTCTTGCACTTAGTGTTCAAATTTTAAAGGTGTTAAGATCCTTTGATCTCCTTATAGTTTAGACAGTAAGCATCACAATTGGTGTGAATAGGCTGTAAAATCATTCTAACTACAGTGAAATCTCTTTCGTGTTGAAAGGGGACTGGAGTACTCTCGGACTGTAAGGGGAACCAGGATATATCCTTGTGTTATTTACTTTCCGAATTCTACCGCTTTCATCACTTATCCAAAATCCATAAAAGAAAGACCAAATATTCATAAAACCGGAAATAATTTTAAAAGTCCTAATTCACCCCCCCCCCCTCTTAGGTGCACTTTTATACTTACAAGGCCATGTGATTTGGTGATTGTTGACCAATCACCGTGTGCTCTCTTCCATGTTATTCCCTCAAGTACAACCTTCATCTCAACCGTCCGTTGGTCTATCACAATTCCTAGCCTGTAGGAATTCTCGTCCCTATATTACAATCCCTAGCTTGTAGGGATTCCTCTTTGTTTTTCATTACCCATAATCCTTAAGGAGTTCCTATTTGTCACAATCTCTGAGTCAGTGTAGGTTCATAATCCTTAAGGAGTTCCTGTATGTCTCAATATTTGAGTCAGTATAGGGTATTCTCATTTCCATGTCTATCATTAAACCCGTATAGGGTACCCTTATGTTTACCTTTATACTATGTCCGCGTCGTATATCCATGAAACTTTTTTGCATACCCTTAAAAGACAAAAAATATTTTTTCATACCCATGCATTCACATACATTCATGCATTAACATCTCATTCATTTCCACCTTCACCCTTATCCAACTATTACCCATATGCTAGCTGATCTCTTGGTACCTACAAACGAACTTAAGAAAGTATGAAATTATGGAAGGAGGAGATTAAGCATTAGAGATTCAATGGAGCTTGGTCCTAAAAATCTTATTATGGAGAAAAGGCAGCCCTTCAGGCCTACACAACGCCTCAAATTCCACCATTATGGGTGATCCCTCCATATCAATAGAAACTTCCATATCGACAGAGTTGGTATATCCAGAGGAAGAATCAAAGATCACCCTAATACTTCTACAAGTCTAAGAACTAAGAAGCATCTCCTAAAGTCAAGGGGATCAAAACTAAGAAGCTCTTTCATAGTGTTGTACCCCAAAATTTTCCCTCCCATTTCCTAAACATTTTCTCATCACAAGACCCTGGGAACTCAAGATCCAGTTAGGGTTTCCTCTGCTCAAGACTTCTCCTTGCACTATTGACCCAAATTAGGGTTTGTGTTTGCACAAAGATGTTTTGACCTAGAATTCCTAAGATGACTTTCATGCCTCATATTTGACTCCCAAGTTTATCCATACCAAGTTTCAAGCCTTGATTCCAATCTTTGCCCAGTCAATTGGACAGTTGACCTAGAAATCAGCTGTATTGGGAAAAAGTCAACTGTGGTCAATTGACAGTCAAACCTCATGATTTTTGACTCACATCAACATTATGAACTCATATGAACCATTTGGTCAAGTTTGGATCACAATTCCACAAGAAATTTGATCAGATCACCAAAAGGGCAAAATGGTCATTTTTAGGGTTTTGACTGCACAAAGGCAATTTTTGACTGTTTGACCTAGCCAATGGCAAACCAAGCTCACATATGGACTCAAGGACCCAATGGAATTGTCTTGACATGTTCAACAAGTTCAAAAGATCCCAAATGCACAAGATTGACAGATGAATTTTCCAGTCAATTGGTCAATTTTTGACTGTATACTGAAAAGTCAAACTTTGACTTTTTGATCAAAATCAAGTGCCAAGATTCATTTTTCATCAAGACATGTCAAATTATGAAACTTGTTCATCAAGAAATCAAAAATCACAAATTAGGGTTTAAAATGAAGAATTTTCATAACTTAGAATTTTTCTAAGTTATGAAAATCCCTAATTTTTTCCTAACTTTGTCCCATTTTTTCACCAAGATGCATTTGGATTCAGACAAAAGTCAAAACATGAAAGTTGTAGTCCATTGCAAAATCTACAACTTTGTTTCACAAAGTTTCTTCAAAAGAAGCTTGTAGCTCAAGTTATGATTTTTGGAACAAGGGTGCAAAACACTCTTAACTTAGAAAATTTTTGACCTATTTTAGGCAGGATTTTTGCCTAACTTCATGGCTACTTTTCACATGCTTCCACTTGGAATTTCAATTTTCATTACAAAGATGGATTGTAGTACACATTACAAGATTTCCAAAATGTCCAAGAACTCATCAAACAACCTTGTGGTTAGGGAGAATCGAATTTGGCAATATGGGCAAAACTCACTTTGTTCATGGCCAATTTACATGTCCATAACTTTGCATTTTTGAACTCAGCATGCTCTAAGCTAGATTACAGGTCCTTTATCTCATCCACACTCATAAATTTAATGCCAATCCTTTATGTTTAAGCCTTATCTTGTGTGTTTAACCATTGCATACAAGATTAACCTTAAAATGGAAAAAGCAATATATCCATTTTTGAAAAGTGGAACTTTATGTCAAGATTGCAATCTTTGAAGTACAATGCAAATCCTTTTGGCACAAGTTAAGGGACATAACACACTGATCAAGACTAAAGTGTGCAGCACATTTGAGGGGCCTGCACAAGTCTA